TTTCTGGTCAAGTGTTTTAAACGGTCTGTATTAAAAACACTGAGTGAAAAACTGATTATGTCTGAACTCAATATTGAAGCTGGTAAATTGTTTAATTTGTTTCTTCCGTTCCTTGCTGCAGGTCTAGTGTGTGTATAAATATATATCCATCCACGTTTCTCTGTACGCTGTTATTAGACAAAAACAAACAAATAACGCAACAGGATGATTATATAGCTGCTCTACAAATTAATAAGTCGGATAAAGACTGGCTGAAATTATCACAAATTCGTTCATTTGAAAATCGTTTAAGTGCTAAAGGAATAAACCTAGCTGTTGCTGTATTATCCACCTATTATTATGGTTAATTTGGACGGTTAACCAGTCTAATTGTAGCTTCCAAACATTAATAGACATTCACGAAGCTGCAAGTTCACGTGATTAACCACTTGTGTAAAACTCCCTACGGGTGATGATCAATGACGTCATATCAACAAGAAATACCTTGTTGATGAGTGTGACGATGTATCCTTGCTTTTTTTTTAGTTCAATAGACTGATCTGACGACGAAACTGTCTAATGACACACACACACATATATATATATATAAGGAAGTTGTCAGTTATCGTAATTGAAGAAAATGTTACACAACGAGCCATCACAAGTTCAGCATATCTAATGTGACTTTAATACGAGTCTAACTAATCAGGTGTTGTCACCATTTTCTTTCTACAAACAGTTGCACTTTTTAAAATGTTGAAACACAGGCTATAACAACAACAACAACGATAAACTAGTCAGTATACGTTCTAAAACCACTTTAAATACAGTTTTTGTTGTAGTTTTTATTTCGGATGTGCTCTCAAGGCTATCCAAGAGCTATCTTCGCTACTTACCCCTAATTTTGAATTGATAGACTAAAGGGAAGGCAGCTAACCAAAAGAACCCACCGCCAACTCTTGGACTACCCTAATCAACTAGTAAAACTAGAGCATTACTTTCATATAGTACCCAAGGTCCCCAAAAAAGTAACAGTACTCGAACCATGGACACGCAAATTCACAATCCAGAAAGGTTAAATAAAGTAATAACGACACTGTTTCATCTTTAGAAAAAGATCTTTTTAAACTTTACCCAGGAATTAATTTGGCCTAGATGAACAGTCTTTCAGACCTTGTGCGTGAAGATAATAGGTCCGATCCGCCCCCCAGTGGCTCTTTTATGGATTATTTCATATCACTTCATTTTTAAAACACCATTCAAAATGTTGCCCTGGTTTACATATAATAATTTTTCAACGTTTTCCAGTTAATCCATACGAGCATTAAAAATCGTGTTAATGGTCCATCATGTCAACAGGACGTCCTTGGTTAATCTATATACTTCAACTGTCTAATGAAATACTTTTCTCACATTAACTCTCGCCTTATTTAACCCTTTCGCTGCGTTGTGCAATAAGGCCCGTGACATATCTCTTTGTCACGTGACAATCACGTTATCTTCAGCTTTCAAAGCAGTTTTTGGGAGAGTGGGAAGAGCTAATCCGACATTCACTATTTATGTATGGTGTTTTAAGATGTATTTTACTCTCACACACAGTGATCCTATATTTATGTATGGTGTTTTAAGATGTATTTTACTCACACACAATGAGTAAAATACATCTTAAAACACCATACATAAATATAGGATCACTGTGTGTGAGAGTAAAATACATCTTAAAACACCATACATAAATATAGGATCATAACAATACGTGAAGTACAAACAGTTGTTGACTATCAATATGACAGCGGCTAACAATACGTGAAGCACAAACAGTTGTTGACTATCACTATGACAGCGGCCAACAATACGTGAAGTACAAACAGTTGTTGACTATCACTATGACAGCGGCCAACAATACGTGAAGTACAAACAGTTGTTGACTATCACTATGACAGCGGCTAACAATACGTGAAGCACAAACAGTTGTCTTGTCAGTAGAATATTTGAATGACTCTTAGTTACTGACAAAACACCATACATAAATATAGGATCATTGTGTGTGAGAGTAAAATACATCTTAAAACACCATACATAAATATAGGATCACTGTGTGTGAGAGTAAAATACATCTTAAAACACCATACATAAATATAGGATCACTGTGTGTGTGAGTAAAATACATCTTAAAACACCATACATAAATATAGGATCACTGTGTGTGTGGCCGCTGTCATAGTGATAGTCAACAATTGTTTGTACTTCACGTATTGTTAGCCGCTGTCATAGTGATAGTCAACAATTGTTTGTACTCGCTTTATACATCCACACCCGCTACGGATGCTAAACAGTGAGGTAGCATGGAACAAAGATGTATGACTTATGATGAATATAACGATATCGAGCCCTTCTGCTCTTACAAAAAGAGACACAAAGTGGGTAAACTGGCCGATGCTGCTCAAAACTGTTTCACACGAGTGTGGTCAGTAAACTGACCGATTCTGCCCAATGCTGAAATCCGGGGTTCAATTCCGCGCGGTGGACAGAGGGCAGATAGCCCATTGTGTAGCTTTTCCCTGAAAAACAAAAAAAACAACCTCTAAACGGACTAAAGGAATGAAATTGTATGAATCACGTGCGCCGTATATGTATCTATGGAAGAGAGTGGGAATTTAATGAAATGTGTGTGTGTGTGTCCGTGGAATCTCGTGTAGAAGCGTACCTGTAGTTCGTACATATATTAACCTCCTACTGTATCGTAACCTTAAATTATTGTAAAGCAAGTAAAATACACTAGCTGGGCCTTATGATGTGTGGTTAAGATGTTCATCTGAACGAACGATAATACTTATAACTCTAATATTAAGTAAAGTTTGCTAATTATTTGTAGGGTAAGCAAGTTTCGAAAAGGGCGGGAAACTTAAATAGCAGAAATATCTTTATTTTCTGCATTGTAGCTGGATATTTTATTGCTGGACATTTTGATTATTATGGTAAAGAAGCCGAAATGCTGAAAATTTTATTTACAATCTTTGACTTTTAGAATTTTGTTGTGGTGCGAGTTTTGTTCAAACTCAACTATTCACAATAGATACTGCAGTAACGATATATATGGGTTATCGTATAAAATACTTTTATTTTCAATATATAGGAAATTTTAATATGAATTTGTTTTTGGACTAATAAGTTAGCATGCCAAGTTTGGTAATATGAATTTGTTTTTGGACTAATAAGTTAGCATGCCAAGTTTGGTAATATGAATTTGTTTT